TCTGATTTCAAAATAAATACGTCACTAATTTAATTCGAAATCAGAAACCTGAACCTTAAGTCTGAAACCCCCTATTATTTCCGATTATTTCTTATCATTTTTTGCGTAATAAGTAATAATAAAAAATTATAAGCAAAAACTTAACCTGATCAGCAAATTTTTGAGTTTAAAATTTGCCTTCCAGATTACATTTGTAAAACCTATAGGGAATAATTAGTAATAGTACTGTATGTATGTAAATATTGGGGTAAAAAATACTTACATTATTACCTTGCCCATCTTTACTCTGAATAATCAAAAAATCATCGCTGTACGTACGTACCAATGTGACTTTATCTCAAGACAATTATTACGCTATATTATATAATTAAGTGGCAAGATAATTAATTTCACACAAAGATAACGGTAACGATGACGATGACAAAATGTGAAAATTAAATTCGTGCGGCTATGCAACCAACCAATCTGAACGTAAACACGTAAACAAATCAATATTATTCAAATTCAAAGCCATCCATGTTCATGAAATGTAAAGAAAAAGAAATGCTTAGTTGTTTATGAAAATGCGGTTTCAAATTTTGCCACAATCTTAGCCTCAAACCAATTTCTTTTATCATAGAAAATGCAACGGTTACGTGTTCCAAGAAGTCACTTCTAATACTAAATCCATGAGTGCCAAGAAATTTCAACAAATTTATTTTTTTTTAAAAAAAAATTTACAACAAATATTTCATTATAACAAATATTTTCAAGAATAACAAATATTCGGTTTTTTTTTATGGCTAAATTTTTGTTAAAATAGTTTCATTCCGCTTCGCTTATGATAATTAAACAATTAGACTGAACAAAATATGAGTTCGAGTTCTGGTCTTCCAAAGTACCATGTCGCACTTAGTCCAAATGGTCTAAATGTTATTACATTTAATACAGGTAAAAAAAAAAATTTTATCTTTTTTTTTTGCTTATTACTTATCGGCGGATTTAACCCAATAGCTGTAACTCTGGTCAAATTTGCAGATCATTTGGCCAGCTTTGAAGTCAAATAATTCAAACCTGGCCAAATGATCTGCAGAGTTACGGATTTTCTATTTATCAAATTCCACAATATGAAAAAAAAAAAAATCAATAGAATGCATAAAAAGAAAATTAATAAAATTTTATTTTTTTATTAGAGACATTGGAATTGGAAATATGTCATACTAATAATTTGACAGATAAAAAAAAGATAAAATATAGAGGATTTAGAACTGTAGATATCAGTAACCCTCGACTATGTTGGTCGATAGCGATATCAAACTCAGTAAACTTGGGTACACATTCAGATACATTAATTGGTGTTTCATGTTTTGATAGAACCGATACTTTAATTAAATCATCAAAGAAACGACGAGCTCGCAAATCTGGAAGTTATTTTTCTTCTTCATTTTCTTCTATGAAGGACTTAGAAGAAGGTCATTTAGATTATTTTAATGTCAGAGTAAGTCCATATACATGGATACTTTCAACTTGGTACGCGGACAGGATAAAAACTTCTGTGGATGATACTGGTGGTGTTATACGATTTCTTGCTGATGATAGTCCTAATACTGATGTAGTAGTAGTTCATGTACAAGGAATTTCAAGAACTACAATTGAATCTAATTATGCTGACGGTGGTAGTTTAAGAACTGATCTTCTTAAAAAACCTGCTGAACAATTCTTATTTCCAATGTTAATTGCTACTGAAATTGGTACTGCTGAAAGTTCTAATCCTAATTTACAATTATTTAATAGAAATATTGAAAAAAATTTTTTTGTAGCTGAAAATTATAAATTTGAATTATTAGAAATGTACAGTTTAAAAACTGGTGAACTTTATAAAACTTTTCATATTAAGGAAGAAACTATTGAAAAAAAATTAGAAGCTCATGGAAATGCTATTTATGAAGTTTCAAAAAATGATGCTTTATTAGCTTATTGTAGAGGAAATAATAGTGTTTCAATATATTTAATGGAAAATACTTTGGAAATTGCAACAAAACTATTTTCTAATCTTTATAGAATAAATACAATTGATTTTGTTCATGATGATGAAAAATTATTTTTAATTGGTGAAGAAGAAAAGGATAAAGATGATGGTTCAACAGAATTAGTTACTGTTATTTTAATTTGGAATCTTTTTAGTGATTATGAAGATTGTGTTCAGACAATTAGAGATACTCAAAATATAATTCAAACGGGTAAACATTTTTCAAGATTTACTGAGCATTATCATAAGTTTTCCAGTGCTAGTGGATTTATAGTTGGTGTTAATGAAGATACTGGTGAAGTTTTTTCTATTGTTGATCATCCTGATCTGAAATATGTTTTAGAACCTTTTGTATCATCTGAACTAATTCCACTAGAGATTCAAAGAGATGTTTCAACACCATCACCAATAAATCAAGTTTATCATTATATTTACAAAGATGGTAAATTTGTTGATGCTAGAAAAGAACCAAAAAATACTATTATTATTGGTAATGCTGAACCTTGGGTTCGTCTCAAAAAACATCCTCGTACTTCTGCTTACCTAAATGATGATAAGACATTACAAGTAATTATGGGATTAACTACAATTCAAGTGTGGAGAAAAAATGAATCTTCTAAATACAGACGAAGACTTGAATATATTTGGACTAGTGGTCGTGACGAAGTATTTGATCTTCAAAGTTTTCACATTGGTAATGGTGAATTTTCTGTTGAGTTATCACTTCCTATAGCTAAAGAAACATACAAAATTCATTGGCCACGTGAATGTTCTCCCTTGAGAGATGCATGTAGAGCTATTGAATATCTTAATCGTCAACAAGGTGAACCAGTTACACCTAATAAAAAACAATTATATCGTGATTTATCTCGTCAAACAAAAAATATATTAAAAAGATTCATGAATAAACATCCTGATGTTTGGAGAATGGCTGATGTTAGATATGAAATTATGCAATCATTGATTCGTGGACAATGCGTTTCTTTGATCAAAGCAATTTTATTTAATAAAGATGATAAAGATGAAAATCCGCGTGGAATAAGTTCAAAATTGTCAAACCAGTTACATTACCCTAGGCTTTATGAATGGCCTCTAAAACCAAAAGAAAGTGATTTGCAAGTTGCTATCAGTAGCTCTGGTGATCGTCGTCAAGATACTATTATTGTAGGATATCTATTAAGCTATTATGCAGATAATGCAATGAATAATGCTGGATGGATGTTTACCGTTACTCAAGCACTACCGGAACTATATGATCATAACATGGGTAGTAATAAATTTTTAATAAAATGAGATGCCAAGAGAAATTTATTTACATAATTTCTCTTGGCAAAATTTAAAGTTTAGCCTAGTATTTATATATGTTATATTAACGTTAAACAATGAATTAATATTATATAATTAATTATATTAATTAATATTAATTATATAAATTAATTATATTAATTAATATTAATTATATAAATTAATTATATTAATTAATTATATTAATTGATTATGTTAATAATTATGTTAATTAACTACATTATATAATTATATTAATATATTAATTTAAAATATTAGATTATTATGTTCATGAACTATTTTACAAGCCATGTTTCGGTGCAAAAGAAATAAAAATTGATACATCTTTTATAAGCCGTGGTGATTTATTCGAAGGGCGTTTTAAACCTGTTCACTCCTTATACATTAAACCGGGACTTAAACGCAAACCGGCAACCAAGCAACATGATAGAAAAGCTCAATTAATTCATAGGATTAAAAGTTTCTTTTCATATGCGAGACTTGTTGAAGAAGTGGAAGAATTCGAAGAAACTTTAAAAGAAGAAAAAATTGGGTATCATGTTATTTTTTTTTTGTCTGGGGTGCATTTTATAGTAATATTATTATCTTAATTGATATCGTTCTAAACGATATATATTTAGGTATTTTAAAGGGGAGAATCGTGAACCACTCGTGCCGACTACTACAACTGTGCGAGTTGTTCCGCTTCCGGGTAACATCACTTATATTTAATTAATATATATCTGATATACTATATATATAAAATATATATTGAAATTATTATATTTTTAGATTTTACAATATATCCACCAGGTGCTATCGAAGATAATACCAAAGTTCCTTTATCACGGAAAATTTTAAAATTATTATTCTGGCCGCGTGAGTACATTGTTACCAAAGACGAGATGTGTAGTCCATTTCTTCGTGTAATTGGTCGTGATAGCAGTCCAGCATTGTTTAACAATCCTGCTATGGCTGCAGTAATCGATTATAAGTGGGCATCTGCACGTGAATATAGCCTACGTCAATTTGCTCGATTTATTGTTTTTGCACTGTTATTTTCAATTATTACCAGTATAATGAAAGATGGAATGTATTTAAAATCGAATGTAAACTTTGGCTTATATTTAATCACTCAATTGATATTTTTTTACCTGGGCTATTATTTGCTTCTCACTGAAATTGTACAACTTAAACATGAAGGGTTTGTAAGATATTTTACCTTGTACAATTTTTTTGATATTATATCCTGTGTTGCGCCAGTTTGCTTGATAATTATGTCAGATCTACTGGTTATTGCAAATCTTGGTAATAGTTCAAGTTCCAAGCAAGCTTATAGTATTTTTTTGGCATTTATTACTCTCTTTATGTGGGGAGAATTTGTATGTATGCTATTGATTACACCAATTTTTCTAAGTTACTCCAGTGAATATTAATTATAGCTTCTTTTTAGTTTTTGATGTTGCGATTCTTTAAACGTATGTTGATTTATATTTTGTCATTTATATTTATCTATAACATTTTATATAGCATTATTTTAATGGCTTATGTTATATTGCTTATCTAGAACCCGCAAATTTTATTTATATTATCTTGAACATATTGAAAAAAATTTGGCCATTTTTTACATTTATGCTAATAGTCATTTTTGGTATTGGTCATGCGATGTACGTACGTTTACTTTTTCGCATCTTATATTATCTCATATTATTTGTATTTTGCTAATTTTTTTTATTATAATATAGGTTTATTTTACTAAGAGATCCAAATCAAATTGGCCTAACTCCAGGCGGATCATCATATTCAATCTTAAATGCATCAGATACAAATACAGAAACCAATAATCTATTCCCTGACATGACAATTTCTCAATCAATTGATGTTAATAGTGTCAGCGACAATTATTTCTCTCATTTTTGGAAATCTGTTGAGAGTGTGTTCTTCTGGATTAATGGAAGATGGGATCAACTTGACCAATGGGATTTTATACCTCTCGACATTTTGGCTATTAGTAAGATTTTTTTTATTTTATCATGGGAAAATATGTTTGAACGAACTTTCTTAAAATTAATTATTAATTATTATATATCGATATACTGTAATTGAATAGTTGCAAGCATTTTTCTTGTCATTATCATGCAAAATTTGTTGATCGCACTTATGACGTAAATAATTCATCCTTTTTTTTCATGAGATGAGTTAATTTAACACTAATGCAATACTTATATCTTGTGTGAATGCATATAATCTTAGAAATGCATTCGAAGAAGCGCAATCTTCAGGTGAAGATGCGGTTTTGAGACACCGAGCTGACTTAATTGCAGACTTTGAGACTTTACAGAAACCGCTTGGGATGACACGTAAAGATAAACGTTACATATATTATATAGGCAAAGTAGATGATCAAACTGACTGGCTAGAAAAAGCTAAAGAATATCGATCAACTCATAATGCCTTGCTTGGTGAAGAAGTATACGAGGACACTGATAAGGATGAAGATAGTGATGAAGATTCTTCAAAAGATGATGATGGTGATAAAGAAGATGAAGAATTAAAGAGTAATGCAGCCTTGCAAGTAAAGGTTCAAGGAATAGAAAATAAACTTGAAAAGGTTTTGGAGTTATTAAAAAATGATAAATAATTAATTTTATTTTGTATTTAATTTCAAATTATATATTAACTTTTGTGAAGTTTGTAAATAAAAATTCAATTATTATAGATTATTTTTACAAAAACAAAATAAAAAAAAAATATGAAAATTGTATAGCTATCTGGTTTTAATCTATTTATTAATGATTAAAATTATAAGAACGAAAAAATATATATATAACGCATTATTATTCTGTTTATGAAAAAATATTCTAAAAGGCGTTTCTGGTTATAATAAACAAAATATATTAGATATATATATATATAAGATATATAATTAAAATTAACAAAAAAATATATAATATTAAATTATAAACTATAATTAAATTATAACATAACTTTAATAAAAATAAATAAATTAAATTTATACTTACCATAATGAACTATATAATAAATTATAAATTATTATTATTAATAAATTATAAATTTTTTATTTTATTTTTTTTTATTTCTTTGGCAAGTCTAGTCATGACTTTGGTCCAGCTATATTATAGTTGACTTTACACTACTAATGTCACAGGACCTCCATAACCCCATACAGGTATCATGTGTATCCACCTGGTATCCATTGTCTGACATTTCCCCGGTTCCCTCATTGGGGCCTAGGTCCGACCGCCTGCACAACACTCCGGAGAGGCCGAAACACCTTATCCTTGGACTGCTATTTCATGAGCCAATCGGGTGGTGCTATGAGTTCATGTAGTACCCTCTCAGACTTTTTTAGATCTTAAATTACGTCTCATGACTTTGGTTATTCCAAATCGGGGGTTTAGCACGGCTTTTCTTCATAGCCACAGCTTCTCGGAATAATTATTTCCCGAATATATCTATCTGTAGATATCTCGGGTTCCCTGTACCTCGTGGTGTTTCACTTCCATATTTGGTTTTTCATTATTTTGCTACTAGGAGGAATTGAACTGGCAACCTTACGATTTGTAGCCTGGGAGCATAACCGCTATGCTATCGACCCACAGGTTTTTGTAGTAAAAATAATCGTTTTTATAAAATATTATATTATTATATATTATTAGTTTATATAGTATTATTATTAAAAAAAATAAAAATACTAATATCAAGAACTCTTTCCAACAATTACTTGAACCATATTTTCTGAAAAAGATTTTACCACAAGAAAAAACCTTACAAGCCAGTACTTGACCTAAAAACCTAGACAGTAAGACAGTACTTGTCATTTAGAAGTAATTCTTATATGCTACTTGCCAACAGGCTTAGAGTTTATCACTTACTGCATAGTCTCGGCACTTGTCGTTTAGAGGTAGTTCTCATACACTATCTGCCGACAAGCCTAGAGTTTATTACTCACTGAAAAAAAGGTTGAGCAGGTGTTGGGCAGTGGGTCTTGACTGTAGAAAAGAAAACTCACACTCCTTTAAATTGGTTTAAAGCTCAAGTGGTCCCTCTTTACCTCGTTATTTTTCCATCAGTCTCCAAAATTTTTTTATAAAAAGTGGGGTTTTGGCTTATCCCCTCCAAAAAATCGGCATTGTTTACTTACCAAACCCAGATGGGCCAGTAGATAGCAACCACGTGTTTGGAAACAAATACGTTGTACAGGCCCTGGAACGAGTCCTGGTCAAAAAAAAAAATTACTGGTGGCAGTACCAAGTGGCTTGAGATACGAGTACTCGAGTGATGGCGCCTTTACAGAAATATCACATCCTTGTCGTCATTGGCGCCGTATATGGAGAGTCAGATCTAGTACTGTGGCAGCACTTGGTTTGAGATATAGTCTAGATTATTAAAAAGATCCAGAATTGGGTCGAAGAGAATTTTAAAGTTAAGCATAGACTTACAACAGAGATATACAGATATTGCATCTGGTATATAATTTTTAAATCACCTGGCACGGGTTATAATAGTGTATTCAGATCGCTTAATTATGTCTTTTTTCTGTTTGTTTCATCTATTTTTATTTATATAAGAATCAGTTTAGATTCTCCTTTCCTTTTTTTCTATTTGTTTCATTTTTTCTTTTGTTTTTGTTTTCTTTTTTAGAACAATTTCTATTTTTTTTCGATTATGAAGGAGCTTTTAGAGAGTTTCTTTAAATGTATCTTCCTTTATAATGTTGGCATATATGTTAGTCTTATGTAGAAGTAGGAGGTAATATGTATAATTTGCTGAGATTTAAGTGGATTGAGTTCGGGATGGCATGGGTTATAATAGTATATTCGGATCACTTAATTATGTCTTTTTTCTGCTTGTTTCATCTATTTTCATTTATATTAGAATTGGTTTAGGTTCTCCTTTCCTTTTTTTCTATT